GTGGCTCAGCAGCCATCTAGCCTTCTAATATGTAATGTGAACACAGAGCAGGAGTTCTGGGAAAGGGGAGCAAAGTGAACAGAACTGCTAACTAAACAACATGAACTACCAGATGAATTGATCCACAGTGCCAGCAGTTACAGAGAGGGCTTTTTATTTGCTGATTTGCTGTTTTTTTTTTTTAGAAATATCTAAATACTTTAATTTCCATGGCTAGTGACCACAGATTCATGGTTTCATCTGGCTGTTTCTAGGAGCCATAGCCTACAACTTCCTCTAGCTCCATTGAGGAGTTCATGGTCATGGATATAGCCTTGGGGTATCCTAACCTGCCAGTCTGGGCTAACAGGAGAATGCTTCAAAGATTGGTGCTCATATAATCCAGGACCACCCACTACTAAAGAAATGAAGAAGAGGAACCAGATGATCATGTGGCCTGAGAGAAGACAGTGGGAAAAGATATGTAATCTTTTCCCACTGTCTTCTCTAATCAACCTCATGTCAAATCACTGACAAACACATGCAGGCTCCACCTCCGCAATATCGCCAAAATACGCACCTTCCTTACCCCAGACACCGCTAAACTACTTGTGCACTCCCTGATTATCTCACGCCTTGACTACTGCAACTCCCTCCTCACCGGCCTACCCCAGTGCAAACTCTCCCCGCTTCAGACCATCCTGAACTCAGCTGCCAGACTCATCCACCTCACCAGCCGCTCCCACCTCTGCCACCCCCCTCTGCCTCTCCCTCCACTGGCTCCCTATCGCCCAACGCATCAAATTCAAACTACTCACTCTGACCTACAAAGCCATTCACAACACTGCCCCTAACTACCTCACCGACCTGATTCCCAAGTACCACCCTACCCGTACCCTTCGCTCTTCACAGGACCTCCTTCTATCTTGCTCCCTGGTCTCCTCCTCACACGCACGTCTGCAAGACTTCTCCAGGTCCTCCCCCATCCTCTGGAACTCACTACCCCAATCCATCAGACTGTCACCTTCCCTCCTCACCTTCAGGCGCTCCCTGAAAACCCACCTCTTCAGGGAAGCCTACCCCACCCTCACCTAACTGCTGCTCTCCTTCATTCCTCCTACCACTCCATTCCACACAGCCACTTCCTCCTGTACCACTACCCCCCTCCCTCCCAGATTGTAAGCTCGAAAGAGTAGGGCCCTCTTACCCCTCGTGTGCTGTTCGTAGCTGCTGTAATGTTTCATGTATTGTCCCCCCCTCTATTGTACAGCGCTGAGCAAACCCTTTGGCGCTATATAAACTCAATGTAATGTAATGTAATGTAATATGTACTGTGGGGTTAAAGAACAGAGCCCAAAATCTGGTTGGGCTTTAAGTGTAGTAGGCACACTATGCTGTTAATCCAGGACAAATGGTTACCCGCTCATTCAAAAGCATAACTTGAATTTGAGAATGGTGTAAGAATCTCTGGCAATATTTCTTTGTAAAATGTGGTTATCTACTTGGGAATCAGTGGCAATTTGAGCTCAGTGAGAAGTTTTACATTTCTTTTCAGTTTTCTACCATCAGAGGTAAGGAAACTGGAAGTGATCAGATATATTTGCATTTGTAATTAGAAAAGTACAGTCATGTGAGGGAATGCTGCTCTTTGCCTTGTTAGTTATGAGCAAATGTCCTAAACACACTAAAAAATTGGTAAAGTTCTGAAATTTTGAATTTCCAAACTGAACGTTCCATTGAAGTCAATAGTAATCTTGACCAGACTCCAAAAAAGTGTGTAGCAAATAATGCCAAATTCTGCAGAATAGTGAAAGCTTCTGGCAGCCCTGGCTGATGAAATGATGAGGCAAAAAAACAGACTGAGCCACGTCCTTAAAGTATTCTACAAGTGAAACTATGATAAAAGGTTTCTAGATTGTAAGCTCCAACGAGCAGGGCCCTCTGTTTCCTCTTGTACCAAATTGTATTGTAACTGCAATGTCTACCTTCATTTTGTAAAGCTCTCCGCAAATTGTTGGCGCTATATAAACCTGTATAATAAATAAAAGGTTAGGACCTGATGACACCAATAGGCAAGATAAAGGTGCCCAGGCAATAGTAGAGACAGATACAAGGCAGAAATAGCTTTTGGTCTCATTCTCCTAGAAGCCTTTTCAGAAATCCAGACTGCAAAAACTCCATTTAAAATATAAAAAAACAATGTAAAGTCTCCCAAAAACTGTGCTAAATAAATATATGTGAAAACCCCAATATTATAGAAAACTTCCAAATTATATAATGTTTGTGCCTCAAAATACAGTCAATTCCAAAAAATTTATAAATCACTTATATAATTATATCAGTGTTACAAATACTGTGCTGCCACATTTAATTATTAAATACATACAAGAAAAATGTTTAAAGAAAAAATATTTTAGTGGCGCATGCATCGATATCAAATTCTAAATGTAAAAAAGTCCAAATGTTTCAGTCCATTCCTGTGATCAACACGTGACAGAAATCATAAATTAAATCACTTAGATCATCCGATAATCACCACGTGAATGCTTGTACCAAAACATAATATAACTACTTGTGGTGCTCCCCTCTCAGGTGTGCATGCCAACCATGAGAGTGGGAGGCAACAAACTTTTGGTGAGTGCACACCTGAGAGGGGAGCACCACATGGAGTTATATTACATTTTGGCACAAGCATTCACGTGATGTTTATCGGATGATCTCAGTGATGTAGCCTCCCTAGCGGTCTGATTATGTCCATATTTCTGTGCTCAAAGCAGTACATTTTTTTGCATGGAAATATGTATTTTTTTTTTTATTGTAGGCCTGTAATTTTTAGGAATAACTCACTGAAATCTGTCCGAAAAAGAGTCTAGTAAACATCCCGGGTATGATAAAATTTGAAACACGAAATCATAAATTCTAATTTAATAAATAATCATAAAAATAATAATATAATAATACATTTAATTCAATAATATAATCAAACCAAAAACACTGAAATTTGAAATATAGCGCCAAGTTTGCACATCACTGAGCAAAGTCGCAAAATCGTTTTCAGTGTCTGATGACGAATTTCCCCACAAATCATTATCACTCAATTCTGCAAGTAGTTCTAATTTATTATCACTGTTCTCTAGTTGGTCTAAAACCGCTTTTGACCTAAAGGGACGCTTTTTGGACACCATGGACATTTCTCAGTTTCCAGGCAGAAAGAATAGTAAAAATGCAGGCAGGGCACAGGACAAAGCACTCGGGACAAAATGTATGTGAAATGCTTTGTGACAGTAATGTTTTACTATGTGATTTTAGTGTATTTAGTGAATGTCACTTTCTCACATTTTTAATTTTCCCGCCAGTTACGTCCCCTGTATGTCCCGACTTCGCAGGGAACGGAACCCAGAAGTCGGATGCCGGCATCGGCCAGAGGACATTACAGGAGACACTGCAGGAGGGACATCGCGGGAGCGCAGGACAAGGTAAATGAAGAAGAGATCCCTGAGCAGCGCTGCAGGGTAATCCTGAGTGTAGCTCGGAGTTACCGCTTGTGATGCTGAAACTTTACCCCGTGCTACACTCCGGAATACTGCCAGGGAGTTTAATTTATGATTTCTGTCACGTGGTGATCACAGGAATGGACTGAAACATTTTGACTTTTTTTAACATTTAGAATTTGACATTGATGCATGCGCCGCTAAAAAAATTTTTTCTTTACATATTTTTCTTGTATAAAAAAAAAAAAATGTTTAAAAAGGCAAATGCATTCCCCCAAAGCTGGAAAAAGGTAAAAGGAAATATAATATTCATAGTTCTCTGGCTATATGTGTATTGTGAAATTATCAAATTTAACAAAGCCAGTAAAATTTAAAAACATAACTGGTAACTGAGATAGGATGCTATTGGGAAAAGTGTTGCTTTATTCTGTACAAAATGGAATGCGAACACACAGCTGGGAAATAAAGAGAAGTAGCGAGGTCACCAGCCAAATAGGCCCTCTCACAGTGAAACCCTCTACACTTACTTCCTACAGTAACAGTATACATTTCAAGAAGAACACTATCATAGTGATAGAAACAATATTAAGGTATATCAGCCATTACTGTTTTTCATTATACATTCTTTTATGGACATGGAATAACACTGTTATTGGTATTTTTATTGAATTTGGCCTGTAAAGTATGCATGTGTTTATACTAGACACAGATATTCATAGTGGAAACTATGTATTTCTATTCCAATTAATTGAGAAGTTGTGTTTTACATTATGATTATTGGCATCAGGGAATATGCAAGTGTCAACAAAGAGAAGAGTGTTTCTATTGTTTATTGATACTCATATCTTGTTTCAGATTGTGCATTTAGGCCTTGTTCTACATAGTGAAAATGTGATATATTGAGTCTCTTGTATGAAGACATCGAAACACAAAGAGCTGGCTGTTTAACCACTTCAAGTCCGGACACTTTCACCCCCTTCCTGTCCAGGCCAATTTTCAGCTTTCAGCACTATCACACTTTGAATGACAATTGCGCGGTCATGCAACACTGTACCCATATGCATTTTTTTGCATTTTTTTGAGACAGATAAAACTTTATTTTGGTGGTATTTATTCACCGCTGGGATTTAAATTTTTTTTGCTATATAAACGAAAGTCCAAAAATGTTGAAAAAAGTGTTTTTCGTACAACATTTTGCAAATACATAATCTTTCTTCATAAATCTTGGCCAAAATTTATTCAGTTATCTTTTTAGTAAAAAAAATAACCCAAATTAGTTTATAACCAAAAATTATAATTTTCAAACTTTTTTTTACATTTACATTTTATTTTTTTATATTATTATTTATGTCTTTTTTTTTAACATACTGTCATCCTAGCAGTACAGTGTCACCATAGTGACACTGTACTACTTAAGGGGGGGGGGTTATGAAGATTTCTTTTTTACACTGATTGCTTTTACACCCATAAAGGCTGTAAAAGCAATCATCTCTCCTTCTCTCTGGCTGCATTCTTGCAGCCATTGAGAAATACTGTGTGAGCTGTGATTGGTCACAGCTTGTCACATGGTAGAGGGCTGTTGTGAATAGCCTTGTACCATGTGACCTCTGTGATCATTCATAGATTTCACACATAGTAAGCAATGATGTCAAAAGTGACATCTTGCTTACTACTCTTCATGTGATCACTGATTGGCTAATCAGTGATCACATGATCGGGACCTCACACAGAGGTCCTGTACAACAATCGGTGTTCCACTGTGTCCGGAGGGAGCGCGCACAAGCAGGGGGCCCCTGCTCTGCTCCTGTCCAGCCGTTTATATACATGGGCCATACGGGAAGTGGTTAAAGTACCAAAAGGAGTCAAACTGAGTCACCTATGACAGCCCAGCTACAAAATAAAAATTGTGTTATTGCCATCATTGAATGCATCCATTTTGTCCTGTTATTAACAACATAAATAAAGCAACAACCTGAACAACTGTGTTAGTGCAAGAACAGAAAGTGTCCATTCATTGATGAAGTAGTGAATTCAATGACAAAGCAGTTGTACAAACAGAGACACACTTAAAACCATTTCTACTCTTATTTGGGCTTGAAGCTATTCTCAACTCTTCAGAGCTCACCTCCACCCACACCTACACCAAGACTTTCAGCCACCTACATGCTACGGGCATCATGACCAATCCCTTAACCCACAACCATCCACGCCACCCCATGACTTACACTCATGACATGCAACAATACCATAAAATGATGCAAAAGTGAACCTATATACTATCTATACATAAAGGGCTTTATCAACTCCTGGGAGAACACACAAGTCCATAAAAACGCCATCGTAGTCCATAGTGTCATAAACGTCTATAAAAAAGTAGGTCATGTGGGGTTAATAGTTTATCCACAATCCAGAGCATTAAGTGTAATTTCTGTCTGCTGCCTAATGCCTCTGCTTTCAGCATGAAACACTTCTGACAAGTTTACCTGACACCATGAGAAAAATGGTGACAGGGGAGGAACCTCCAGTAGATTGACAGCCTCAACTATGTTCCTGTGAGCTGTATGGAGGGGGTGTGTATTTTCCCTCCAATCAGCTCTCAGAGCTCCCCTCACTGTACTCTGCAGAATGTAATTTCAGCTCTCTGTCCACTTTTTTCTGAACTTTAAGACAAGCTTTAAAATTCTGGACTTTGAATAGATGTAGAGAAGAGAAGACTGCAGATAGACAGGTGCAATTTATGTAGGAGGATTTGTTTCATCTCCGTGTATCACCTGAGGCCTGTTAGTTCACTGGGGATATGTAAGGGTTTACAACCACTTTGAACTTTTTAAAGGTTAAAAATTATAAATATGCACTCACATGTCAACTGGTAAAGATATGTGTACAATGTGAAAGAATGTGTGGTATTGTACACAGAGCCCCTCCAAACCAACATCACATTATGCGTCAGCTAAAGACCCACAACCAGAACTGTTGAGCACCCGCAATCCACATGTTTCTTTGAATTAATGGGTACATAACCACTTTCTTTCTCCAGCACACTCATTGCCTTCCTTGCAACTGCACACAAACACTTCACAGCTCATGAACACCAATAGCAATTACAAACAATCTGAAGATGGACATGCATCAGTAATAATTCCTCCCTCACTATAACTGGTAGGCATTCATGGCATCCACCATGTATCCATAACCTGAGAACATGAAAAACATAGAAGACAGCTAGGTACTGTACATGCCTTGGGAGATAAATACAATACCATACTCTATTTTGACAAATTACATGTTCACACATCCTGCAGTGCTGTGAAATTTAGGTGACCTCCTGACATTTTCTGATATGAACAGACTGTATTGTTCTTCGAAATAGTATAGTGATCTTACAGACCTGATATTTTGACTGAGGGATACAGTTTTATAAAACCATTTCTCGACTTCCAAATTCAATGAATGGTTAATTGTACCTCAGTTTCATGGCTAACTGCATCTGCTAGATTTATGACCACATGTAACCTTTGAGCTCACAACCGCAAAAGCCATGCATGGACTTACATAACTCTTCAGTTCAGGACCATTCACACTCCATCTGGCCTACTGTACACAAAATCCTCTAGACTCATGACCAGTTACCCAGCATCAAGCCATACACTCATGTCTCATGACTACTGACACCCTAAGACTCTAAAAGTACTTAAAAAAATAAAAATGTAGTTTCCCTGTAGTACAGCAGCCTGGGATTGTTTAGTACATAATTGATGTTTGTGCTGGCAATCTTATATCCTGCTTGTGTGATTGCATGACTGCTTACCGAGAAGTCTACAATGAGTTATAAGTGAAATTCTTCTTCTTATAATACAGGATTTATATGGTGCCAACAGTTTGCACAGTTTACAATATAAAATTGTGATTTCAATACAGAAGGAATAGGAGGGTCCTGCTCATGGACTTTAGCTTACAATGTAAATGGAGGGGAAGGTGGTACAACAGATAATAGCTGTGGGAAATGATGTGGTGGAGGTGGCTGAAGTACCATTTTTAGGTAGAGGTGGGGTAGGCTTCCACTGCAGTAGGATTTTCAATGATTGTATGAGACTCCCTAAGCCTAATCCTTACCTTAATGGATGCAGACACTGTAGATTTTTGTATCACAACACTTTTATTGTGCTGAAAATGAAGGTGGAACCTCTATTGTAGAAATCAGTTTGAGAAAGGGCATGGTGAAACACACAGCAATTTCTTCAGAACAAAACAAATATGAATATGGACACAGTGGGGTTGATTTACTAAAACTGGAGAGTGCAAAATCTGGTGCAGCTGTGCAGGTAGCCAATCAGCTTCTAACGTCAGCTTCAAAAAGAACAAATAGGAGGGTGCAAATGCCTAGTGCAATACCGACAATTTATTGTTCACAAAATATAGATATTAAATGGATACTCATAGAAGTGGAAAGTAAAATCGCATAAAAACCACAAGATGCTACAGTAAGCGGAATCACGTGTGTCCATGCAACCCAGCTAGACTAGCAACCTGGCGCATTTCAGAAGCGTACCTCCTATGCATAGCATGGACACACGCAATACCCCTTGCTGTGGCAACTTCTCATTCTTATGCAATTTTATTTTCCACTTCTGTGAGTATCCATTTGGCATCTTTGTTTTGTGAACAAGGCATTTGAGCCCTCCTGTTTGTTCCTTTTGTAGTTTTCACAAGACTACCCCAGTTAAGGAGAGCAGCATCTACTACACATTTCTGGTGAAGTTCATGATCCACTGTATATTATACATCATTTATGGTCATCTTTCTCTTTGGTAGACCTCCTAAGTGCTGAAATGTACAGAGTTTTTCATGTGTGTAACTTCAGCTTGTTAAATTAAGCTTTGACAAAAATAAACCTGGAAGTTGATTGGTTTCTATGCAAAACTGCACCAGATTTTGCACCCTCCCGTTTTAGTAACTCAACTCCAGTGTGTGTATCTAGCATTTAGATCCACCAGCAAGAATCTACTGATTCTTGCCAGCAGCGCCCCTGTGAATGTAGCCTAAAGGATCTTTAAGACTATATTATTAATGAAAATCAAATGATTGCTTGTATTTTACATTCCCTGTATGGGATAGCTTTGATAAACATAGCCGTATCTCTGACATGGATTTGTTTATCAACAAAGCCATGTAATCACAATGCCTCCATTTTGATAAATACACCATATCAGTAACAATACGAAAAGTGATTTTTTTTTGTCTTTCCTCCCTATAATGAGTTTGTATACTAAAAAAACTGTATACATGTATGTTATTGCATGACCCTGGCTTTTCAAAAGATAAAGGGGGTTATTTACTAAAACTGAAGAGTGCCAAATCGAGTGCAACTCTGCATAGAAATTAATCAGCTTCCAGGTTTTATTGTCAAAGCATAACTGAACAAGCTGAAGTTAGATTGGCTACCATGCACAGCTGTATAAGATTCTGACTGCACAATTTTTTGTAAATATACCCCAAAGTGTTCAATGGAGGACAAATTACAGAACACATTAACAAAGGTTATGGGGTGCTATAATTATATAAACGAACTGTATTGATTCACCCTGAAGACATACAGTATATACACACAAATACATTATATATATTTTTATATATATATATATACACACACACACACACACACACTCTATGTATCTCATAATTGACTGAATTCAGAATTGTGCAATTCTCTGTACAGAAGGATCTACAAGAAAATGTTCACAATTTGGGATACCATCTTTGTAGGGGTCAGAGAATTCTGGGCCTAGACAATTGTGGTTGTTAAATCTAGAACAGATTGTACAAGTCTGTAAACATTTACTTTTGTGCATTGAAAAAGCATTTTGAGTTTTATGGTATAGGACAATGTGTGGAATCAAGACCCTTTCACATGAAAAATTGTTTAATCACCTGAGTGATGTATATACATATTATTGTTTTTAACATCCCTGGTGGTATTCCCGAGTGTAGCTCGGGGTAAAGTTTCAGTACCACAAGCAGTAACCCCGAGCTACACTCTGGCATACCATGCGGCGCTGCTACGCGATCCCTCGATCACTTACCTTGTCCTGCGCTCCCACGATGTCCCTCCTGCAGTGTCCCCGGCAATGTAACCCGGCGGATGCCGACATCTGTCATCTGGGTTCCCTCCCCTGCGAACGTCGGGACTGCCTGTATTTTTACTGTTCTTTCTGCCTGGACACTGAGAAACGTCCATGGCGTCCAAAAAAGCATCCCTTTATGTCAAAATCGGTTTTAGACCAGCTAGAGAACAGCGATAGTAACTTAGAACCACTTGCAGAATTGAGTGATAATGATTCGTGGGGAAATTCGTCATCAGACACTGAAAACGATTTTGCGACTTTGCTCAGCGATGTGCGAACTTGCCGCTATATTTCAAATTTCAATGTTTTTGGTTTGATTATATTATTGAATTAAATTTATTATTATTATATTATTAATATTTATGATTATTTATTAAATTATAATTTATGATTTCGTGTTTCAAGTTTTATCCTACCCAGGATGTTTACTAGACTCTTGTTCGGACAGATTTCAGTGAGTTATTCCTAAAAATTACAGCCTACAATA